CATCCACAGAACCCAAGTTTATTGCTGACTAATATGATTCATCATCATTTAGCTATTGCACTTAATTTGATCATTGTTGGACATATGTAACTAATTGTGGGATCGACCACAATATGAAATATCTTTTAGAAGCACAAATCCTTCCGGAAGGACGATTAGGACGTGGGCATAAGGGCCTTTATGACAATAAATAATTTGATTCATTTTCAATTAGGCGTTGCTGTAACTTCTTTAGTGGTTATTCTGTTGCTAAGCCGACTAGAAGAGTTATGATTTCTTAGTACATTGTCTTTCAATACCAACCTCTCGTTTTATAGAACGAAAGTTACTGCAAAAAAGGATGGAAAGACGTTAACCTTTCACTATTGGTAAGCATTCCCCTAGTTTTGACCTAATGAGTTTTCTTTATGTTGAGTTAAACCGATGGGTTCGCGTAGAGGCCTAGTAAACGAACAGGCCCGTCCCTTGGCCAGTTAAAACTGTGATTGAGAACAGGGCCCCAAAATTTTGGGGCCCAAATTCACACCCCTTCCTTCTCCATGAAGACGCTTCAATCTTCCCGGTTTACATAAAAGTTATGCCCTTCCTGATTCATCATTCTCATCGTCACCAAATTTATCTCTCTTTAAATTGGGTTAGAAGTATTTTCATACATTTTTTCCGGCGAGTCAAGGTGAGGCGGAGCCACGGCAGCTGCTTGCATTTCTTTCCAAAGGCTACGGTATGACCTGTTTTGACACTTGACAATATCTGTCCATATTTTTCGACGACTATTTTGTTCATCAGACCTCTCTAGAACAAGTTTTTCCTCAACCATGATCACTGGTTTTTGGTCAACGTTGCATCTTCTTCCACCACCTGATTGAAGAAGCAACTTATTTGCTTTTGGTTATCGATTTTGCTTTAGGTTTTGGTTTGGATTACCGACTTCCTTCCTCGTTTTGATTTTGGTTACTGATTTTGTTTTTGGTTTTGGTTTGAGTTACCGATTTCATTTCTTATCGATTTTTTTGATATTTACTTGTTTAGGTTCATTGATTTAGGAAATATCATACTTAGATAGTCAGATTATGTAACTTATGTTTATGCTCATTTTGTTTACATTAGGATTTAGCCATTTAGGAAACCAAAATTAACATACTGTTTGCATGTTTACTGTTTGGGATTTTAGTTACACTTTAGTCTTTAGTTTCAAAAATCAAAAATTCATATTGATTACTTGATTCTATCGGGGTTACTCACATTTTTCATTGTTCTTTATTTACTTATCTCTCAATTCCACAAATTATAGTCTAATTTCTTATGTTCTTAGCTTATTGTTGTGGTAAATTTGAAGTAATGCAACTGGTTTCCCCTTTTGAATTACCTACTATGAAGATTAATGTAGTTTGATTCAAGTCTTGTAACTGTTTGTTTTAATGTCTCTAAGAAATGGTATCCCACTGACTTGTCTCTGTTACTCTTTCTGATACAGCCCTTTGGCCAAGTTCCAGCATTTCAAGATGATGAAATCACCCTATTTGGTGATATCTACACCTTTGTTTTAACCTTTTAAAGATGATATTGTTTCCTTACTTTCCCAAATTCCCATTTCCCTTATTATCAGATTAGTAATTTATCTATCGTTATCGTGGCCCATTTCCCTGACTACAATCAGATTAGTAATCTAATTGTCGGGCAAAAGTTGAGAAAACAAGTTTTTTTTGTCATGTCCCAACCCATCCATGAAGATTCAAAAGTGAACTTCTTTTCTGGAAATATGTATATACTTGACTTGAATTACTGGAAACGAAAGGATTCTTTGTGTTGATAACATAATCACGAGCTATATGTCGATATATAACAAAGAAGTATCCAAGCAAAGAAACCATGGGACTCTTTGGGACAAACCCATTGGTAAAAGCTTCAATTGACCAATTTTAACTTTATATTTTGTCTTGTTTTTTACTTGTTTTATGTGAACTATAATAGTAATACGTGGTAACAGGTGTAACAGGGCCTCCAAAAAGATTAGGACGGCTGGAGATCATGAAATGCATTTCCACATTATTGTGTATTTCTCCAAAGTAGCTATAGCGTCGGTCCCTTATTCACTTGGTCCATTTTCTTACTCGGTCTATTTTCTTTATATAGCAAGTTGTTTGAAACGTTAGTTGGAATTGACCACGGTTTCTTTAGTTGCAGGGCATGGATTCGGTGAAGATGTCCAACGACCACCTTAGCTTAACACTAGGCAAATCTATTCCGGACTCACGGGAGGAAGTGGTCAACAGAGTACTCCTGCTTATTCTATTCTATCATCGCCAATCGTTCTAGCCGAATTGATCACTCCAATAAAAATGTTTATAAGAGCACCCACATAGGGCTTTCATATGGATTGCAATTTGAATTGCAAATACAATTTTGAAGATGATTGCTGCCATGTAGGATTTTGAATTGCAAAATTTGCAATTCCATTTGAAAGTCACGTGGGCACCACTTCCTCTCCAATTTCTTTTTGTTTTTTCTAATTATTTAAATAAATTAATTTTTATAATATTAATATATTTATTAATTAAATTAATTATTCTTATATGAAAATATTCTATGCATGTATATATGTTATTTAAAAAAATATAAATATAATATAACTAAATTAAT